TACCGTCGTTGTGATGTATGACGCGGATAAAGCGGTCGTCCAATCAGATCGACTGCTTGGGAGCAACAGCTCGACTTCATCCTCTTCCCGCTTTACTTCTTGTTCAAAGCCTGCGACGAGATCAAGAATTATTCGGACGGCGCCATCAAGGTCTTCTATGCCTTGCAACCTTGCTACAATGCTGGCTTCGGATGGCTCATCAAGGGAAGCCTTGAAGTTGAAGCGCTGCGCTTGGTCTTCAATAATATCCACGATGGAAAACGCAATCTCTTGATGGAGAATATCAACAATCCTGGTCTCCAGGTTTTGTAGCGCCTCGTGCCCTATCTTGTCGCAAAGTGTCCAGAGTATGTCCAGGACGGCAAAATGAGATTCTACTGGGAGGGAGTCCGAAAGGTGCCGGTAGACGCTTAGTGATAGGTCTTCCTTCACACAGACACCCACGCGTTCTCGTTCGATCACGATCACTTCATCCCTGCTCTTCCCTTTACCCAATCCCAGAGGCCAGCGTGCGCTCCGCTCAACTTCACGGCAACGTGCAACAAATCCCTCCCAATCTCTTTTGAGTGCATTCCAATACCGATCATGCTGCAGCGCCCCTGTCTGTGGATCCTGCATTAAAGTCACAGTACAGCCGACTACCGCAGCGATGTTTTCTGCCGTAGTGGGGTGAGAGGATGTGAGTTGAGGGGGTGGATGTGATCCGGAGACTGAGAGGCATGCATCTGTGTACTGCTCTACAGCAGTCCGCAGAGTAAGTGGAGAGAACACGCCTGGTCTCAATATGGCCGTCATGAATTTATCAGCCAATGAACCGGGGGAGCGAAGGAGCTCGTCAAGATTCGTAGGAGTCAAGTCCGTTTCTTCTCCATAGGTAGCAGTCTCCCAAATTGCATCAGAATCACCAGTCACTGCTATATTTAACCTCGTTCTCTCCGTCATTGAGGACCCTTGACGTTCCCATAATGTGTACAGGAAGTCATCGTTAATTATGAAATCTTGAAGGTGACAATGAGCACTGGAGGCAGAACATTCGACGGTCTGAACCTCGCGCATTTGATCGGAGTTAGTGGCAACGAGTTGGAAATAACCACCAGACTGTGGATATGAAGGAGTTGGCGTAAACGCAACGGCGTACGTAGTTTCATCGTCGCCCCCATTTCCAAATATCCGGAGGAGATTGCGTGGCTCAGCTCCAAGAAGCTCAGATTTGATGCCGTTGGAAGTCACGTATGACTCGCTAGACGCCTTGCCTGACAAAGACAAAGCTTTGGAGGCAACACAGCCACCCTTTGCTGTCCAAAGTCGTAAAGTACGATCCCGTGAAAGCGTCCATATGTGGCCCAACTCGGTGGGCTGCGGCCTGCTAGCAACAGAGAGAATCTCTGATCCTGCAGAGCTCGAGGATTGTAGACTAGGCAAATACGAAGTGAGTGTTCCCAAAAATGAACTTGGCGAGTAAACGTGCTCCGCCCAAAGATCTACGCAGCAGGGGAATGTCAAAGACTACTCAGCGGACGTTAAAAGTACATACCATGGAAATTGTCATCTCCGATATTCTCAGCTTCTATGCGGATAAGGGAGCCATTTGTCAACCCAATCACCACACATAGTAAACCTTGTGCTTGAACTACACCATAAAATTGTTCTGGCACGTTTTTGACTATATATTCTCGACTCCACTGTTTGGGCAATGGATCGTGCCACAATCGCGTCGGGTTGACGGTGGGTAGAACCAAACGGAATAATGAGCCGCTAGAGATTACTGCCAGTACGTGTAACTCCTTCTCGCCCCATGCGAAGATAGCTGGAGCAGGCAAGACTGCAGAGGGGAAGACGAAACGAATTGGGGGGATATCAGTGGAAAGAGAGATGAGTTCTAATATCAGACCACCGTGAATGACGCGCAGAAGGATTGTCCCTGTATGAGGAGCATAGAATGTTGATGAATATGAAGCATGTTCTGACGACGAATCCGTGTCGGTGTATGGTGGGGGGAGTGGAAGATTTCGACGTTCAGTTTGAAGAACTAGGGATACAGCATTAGAGGAAGGATAAAGCGACGAGAGCTGAGCAGCAACGAGAATGTTACTGCTGTTCATTCTGATGCTAGAATAGATCGTAGCCAGATGATGCACAGGCAGACGATAGAGCAACAAATGGCCTGTTTCTGCAAAGAGAGGTCAAGGTCTGCGCTACTGGAAAACAATAGACGCTGGTGGCTAAACTTAGTTACCTTTTTCGGCTAACAAGCGCCTAAAGCATCAAAATGAACCTTAGTTGCAACGTTGATCTCCCTAACAGGTACTCAACTCAGCCTAGTGAGATAGGCTTCGTGTGGTACCGGCGCGCGCGGTAGCTTGTTCCTTCGGTTTCTTTTCGTTGTGGGATAGCACGAAGGGTATGTCTGATCGAGAAACACGCTAACTCATATATACCGTCTGATCGTGGACTCCTGTATCAGTCTCAAACAAACTTTGACTACAGTATATATAGTTATATACTACTTCGGTATTAATCGTGTCGAAAATAGTACATACAGTGCACTCGGGATGTTATACATTGTTGTGTGCTGTGCAGCTGCGTGCAACCACCAGCCTGATCTATTACTACCATGCGGACATGAATAATTGATGGGTCATGATGCTCAATTATAATAATTTCTCGTTCGATTGAGTGGGATGATAAGTAAAAGAACATTATGCATTTATGCAGACGCGCATTGCCTACAGCACATGAAGTCGAGGTGGCGCAAAGCTACTCCCCTATGTTCTTCAATCTCACCTTATCTAAGTTTCAAATGGGACAACATAACCGCGCCGTGCCAAAAAATCACAGGTGGCGCTGAAGTCATGGCGGATCCCATCACGAACACGTACTGATGTGTATGCCGGGCATTAACGATTTCTCTCAATCAGGTATATCGTACAGTGATAGCCTTCCTGGAGAGCCAACCCCAAAAAATCAGTGCTCGTAACTGGAAGTAGGCGCAAAAACCGTTGCGTCACAACGTACATGCTCTGGGCCCTGTGGTCGCGGCCACTACAACGTTGAGAGTGCCCCCAGGGAACGGATCAGAAGATTTAGTAAATGAATGAAAAAGAGAACATTCCTGTAGCTGGGAGTGGGCGGAGCCTAGATGAGCCTCCTTGTCACGAAATGATCTCATGTCACCCTCAAGGAGACGGTTGGACAGCCTTCAAAGTATCGTACGAGTCACAATCACTTTATGATCAGCATGGAAGCGGTGGTTTTTAGAGATTTGTGCACGGGATCTTACACCAATGGCGCATAGGCACCGCTAGGACCAATCTGTTTGAAGAAGGTCTGGACCGGCTACATGATATTAGAATCATGAGTCGGCCGCGAAAGAATTATATCCACGTTCATACCCCTTGTTTACACGCCGTATTGCTCGACGGCCAATTCGAGGAGCCGCGGCCAGGTTGGACGCAGTAGCGATACATTGTAAGGCGCCCGGTGTGGAATTGAAAAAGAGCTCCGCTATATCTGATGTTATATAAATCTGTTGGCTTGTTCGCGACTCCCGAAAGCTAACAGATAAGATTGACTTTTACTTCAACCGGCAAGCTGTGAGGGTGCCGAGCCGACCCGGAAGGACTAAAAAACGCACGCAGACAAACACGCGTTGCTAATGATCGACCCCAAAACTGTCAACAACGACCTCAAGGCATGTACAGACAGCACATACCCTGATTTTATGTCAACTTTTGCAATTTTTTATGTCCTCTGCGACCTCAAGAAGACGGTGTGGTAGGGAATAAGCTAATAAGCATCAAAACTTCCTGATTTGTCGGTACCGCCCGCGCACTAGTGGGGCTATATTATGCTACGTTGCTTCCCGCACTCACAGCGACCACACTGTGATCACTACAGAATCAAGATCATCATCGATGCATCCATTATCCAGGCTGAAACCGACCGAACAGCCAAGAGTAGATCGGGTGAGCTATTATGACTCCCCATCAACAAATTGCAAATCCACTTTGACGCGACTCATCTACTTCCCGGCGCATCCAATTTAATCCGTTAACTTGTTTCTATTGACCGTCCTCGTGTCTGCACTAAAACCGTTGTATCATTTGTGATACTTCACAGATCTCGGCGGCCTCATGTCTCCAGGTAAGAACTTTATAAGGAAGAGCCACTTACTCCTCTTTCAACCCCAAAGTGCTCGACTGCACCATTGAGACTTGAAGTCCACACTAGTCTGAGACCTGAGGTCTACGACTATCTCTGCTTTCCTGCTCAAATCTTACTTTATCTTCTCTTCAAAAACCAAGTGTACTCGAATTCATCTCCTTCCAGTGACATCATGGACCAACTAGTATCATTTGAGGCTCTCCTCTTTCCTTCTGACGGTCGCAATCCGCATATGGTGGCTTTGATGACAAGCCCCATGTCGGTGCCCGACCCACACGCTCCGTATAGCACCCTACCAGCTCGGATGCCGCATCCTGAAGTCTACATGGACTACATCGCCGAGGGCCTCGGTCCCCGAGCCTGGCATTATCATGTGAGTACAAAGTTGCGTATCATTACTGTCGAAATCTGATGTTGGACTCAGCTCGTCGAGGCTCTCGACGGTATGAACAAAAAATTCGTTAATCCTTACGTTATCTTCTATCCAACCGTCTCCCGTGACGGGATGCCCTTCCCTATCAATAAGTGTCTTAGGGAAATCCAGGGGCGATCATTCAGAGAGGCAGCTGCGTGGCGCGGAAATATCATTATCGCCAAGTATCGGGAGAGCCCCTTCTCATCAATGATCAATGGATCAATCGCTGACTTTCCAATACTGAGGAATTACTTTATGACGCACGGCGCACCTCAGGTAAGCAAGCAAGTGGTTCTTTGTCGAAGCCATACTGATCATTGCCGGGATCAGTCTTAAAAAACGGCCACCTAGCTGTATGCGGACGCCGGCCAGAAGATGCTTTGTGACACGGACAATCTACTTTATGAAAAAACCTTATGTAGACATGCCATACGGAACACCCTAGACTTATATATACGCGCCATATGTGCCTAATGATAATGGACATCAATAGCTATGCCTGTAGACTATAACTCCTCGCGGATTGGCGTCTCCGTATTACCCTTAGAATGGGACATCGGGTTAGAATTTCCGGTTGTTGGATGATTCGTCTGCTCTTTCTTTGGATCACAATGTTCCGGTATCGGACTTTTGGGATCAATGGGGTGGTGCAAGACTTTGCCAACTTTGTAGTATGTTTTGTGCTCAGTAAAGAACTTCTTCCAATGTTCGACGCCCTACATGTGTATCGACAGATTAGTCCTGTGTGAACACGGAAAACGCCGTTATCACCAACCCTGAGCTCGTTGTCGGTCAGACCTCGTAAGTCATGTGTCCGGTGAGTGGCAAAACATCCTGTACCAAATGACCTGGCTGCGTCCACTCCGACCCTGCAAATAAATGATGAGGAAGTCTAGGAAGCATAGCATATACCCACATATGGTGGTAAGGACCTCCCGGACCATACGTTCTGCTATTACTTGAGACATCAAATACGTCACCATCAATCTGCATGAGAGTGATTAGGGTGTATGTACGATCACTTGAAACAGTTGACCATACCGCGAGATACAGGGGTTTCGTTGGGTCATTCCCATCAAATGTTGCCAAATATGTTTCCGAGAAGAGGCGCCCGCTATTCTCCTAGAATGTAAACGGAGTCAGGGACGTCAATGAAGAACTTAATGGAACCACACGGACTGGCCAATATGTTTTTAATCGCGCCCACTTTCCATCGTATTCCCACAGGAAGCTGCCAGTGAAGAACTTGCCCGCGATGACAATAATGAGAATCAAATATACAATGAACTTCAGCAGCCCAAGCAACTCTACTTCCTGCTCGGCAGTAGGATCCACTTCCGCAGGACCAACTTCTTCCCCTCTGGCAAGTTTCTCCTCACGCTCGCGATTTCTTTGAAGCCATGCTTGGTGCTCCTGTTCCTGCTTCTCTCTATATTGCTTATGGCTACAAATCATAAGTTGCTGTCTGCAAACAGGTGACAACCACTTACGCCAAGAAGGGCTGATTGGCGGCTTTCTTGGTTACCTTCCTGGTAGGGTCTGATGGGTCCTGAACCATATTATCTTCTGCTGGTGGCTTGGGGGCATCACCGTCTGGGTTCCAGATCCAAGACATCTCTCGCGGATGAGAATTGATTCTGCCAATGAGCACTCTGGCGGTATTAACTCGGAAGCAATATTAATACAAGTCTAAGCTGTTTGCACTTGTATTGACAACCTCGTCGAATTTCGCATCACAAAGTTATTTGAAAGGCCTAAGCCCTCGGATGCGCCGAGGAGCGCAATTGTATGATTCTAAGTACTCCCATTAATTCTAAACACAATCGTCTGTGTTTAATAGTGCTATGCATTAATGAAGCCGAGATCTTGCCGATCACCTTGCAGCTGCCACTTGTGTTAAGATTACAACGGAGCAAGATTATTGATTTTCCAATCAATCTTTAGTTGTTCCACCTCGAGTACATACATGCAACAAGTAACATGACTCCTTGATATACGACAGGAAGCCATGAAATTAAGTGCTACCTACATAACAAGGCAGTAGGTAAGTGTAGGGTATTAAGTAGACTGTACACCGCGAAGGGACTGGATGTAGAGAAGATACCGTCGTAATGCGATGAGATGGGAAGGCTCGACAGGATTGGGGAATATTGTTAAAGCATGACAAGCCGGCCCAGGATACTATACTGGATAATGCCAAAGAGATGAAAACAATTACGGCGATGAAGAAAGTATGAACGATAACCCCCCGGGTTTGGAATCAAATGCGATAAAAGAAGAAAACAACATGAATGGCGAGCATACGGTGGTCAGCCGGGATGATGAATGTACGATGTCGTGCAGGGGCTCTCGCAAGCACGCCACAATTAGAGTAGCAATGAATAAGTCCATGGAAAGCGAAATGGAGAGAACATCCGCTCATGAGACATGTGGCGATCCTGGCATGTCTCTGCTCCGGTGTTCTCGCTCACTGCCTTTCAAAGACACCGTGATGTAAGCTCCACCAGTCTCCTCAGAACCGAGGCCAGGAGGAGCAGGAGGACTGGTGAGGAAATGAACGTCATCACCCGGCACATCTCCTTCACCAAGAAACTGCCGTGCGTCCAGAAACCGCTGCGTTTTAATGAACTACAGACACATTGACGAGGTAAGAATGAGAAAATCTTGAAGCAAAAAACAAAGCATACCTTGGGCAGCGAGTCCATAGCCATCAACCGAAGAACATGCGTTTGAATGCGCGTGTAAAGCTTGATCAGAACTTGCAGTTGCGTTGCGTTGAAAGAACCAGCTTGAGTGGCATCTACTTGTCCGTCGAACGATTTGCCGTGCAGGCCAACCATGACTTCACCAAGATAATTGGCGAGATCGAGGCGAAGACCATGATCAATATTGAGCTCGTTCTGACTTGATGGTGCGAGGTATTTGTTGTAGATTTGGAAAGCAGTTTGAATCAAAGCCTCGTGATGCCTCTCCATGGCGGCTTGTCCCGGTGTTGCTTTGCTGCTCGATCGAGCAGGAACTGCAGCTTGTGCACTGGAAGTCGTATTGAATTTGCGCTTGAAATCCTCGACATCCATCCAAAATGCCAGATTCTCTTCACAAAAGTTCGCCTTCAAGAAATCACGGAAGAGAGCGCGATAAGATGGCTCTTCCAGGATATATTTGAGACGGTCGGTATTGCTCTTGACATTGCCTTTCTTCTCCGCAGCCTCGTGGCTGGAATTAAGCTTCTCCGCCATGGATATGCGACGATGAATTTTAGCATCAGCTGCTTCAATTCCCGTCTTCGGAGTACCATTGATGGATTCACTTTCCAGTGACGAGCGCTCCGTATGATGCAGGTTCACCGTCGAGCTGAGAGGAGATGCGGTAGCTTCGTCCCACTGAGCGAGCCGCTTGCCTTCATCTGTGATTCTATAGATAGCTTTAGCTGTACATCGGAACTCTCCGTGTTGCTGGAACAAACGAGGGGATAAGAACACCTGTGAATGACTCGCTGACGGGGACTTACGCTGACTGGAGAATTCCCGCCTGGAGTAGAACCACGAACAGTGAAAATGATTGCAGAGTCATTATTTTTCCTTTTATCGCTAACCAATGTGATGAGGCCGAAGCGAACAAACTGAGCAGCCATCTCCGCCGCTTCTTCTCTTCCAACCACGGAGGTGAAGTCGCAGAGCCATTCAAGAGCACTCACAGCGGCGAAACAGTGCTTGTGCATGACCATGGCTTTTCCCAGTAAAGGCTGTGCACGCTCTTGCACATCCATTAAAGGCACACCCTTGGATCGCTCGTGGTATTCTTGAAAAGCGTCCGGCGGATTGGTCGAGAGCTGAGCGGGGTAGTTGGGCTGACGACCAACGAACCGACGGAAGAGCGCAGTTATAACGGATTGTGTAACGATGATCTCGTCATCAGCCGATCGACGCTCCAAGTGTAATAGCTTGATGCATATTGGTTGTGAGGCGAACACGGGTTGCAGATGGTCGGAATTCATGCCGTTCTTGGATATAAAACGTTCCAAGACATGGAGACCCTTGGGCGTGAGGACATAAGTACCGCGATCTTTGAAAAGATTGCTGCCAAGATCGGCGGCGTTTTCGATCAAGCGAGCATCCATGAAGTGTTGGCACATAGCCTTTGCCATATCACGAGTCATTGAGAATGTCGTGGTGGTTGTAGTCGTCACTATTCGTGATTTGTCTCTGGGATCCGGCCCGCGATTTGACTGAGAGAACTTGAGAGATGCCAAGTTCGCAGCAGCCTCGTCCCTGCAAAAGTGTATGAGATAAATGTCCTGGAGATGAGCGATCAAGCACGGACGTGGAGAATGAATTTGGGAAAGTGCGAAAATATTGCTTGTGCGTGGTCAGATTAAGAGATACGATGAGCGTTGCAAAAAGGTCGAGGGTATCCTGCACCGAACCAAATTAGCTATTACCATTGAAAAAAGACTATGCAAGCTCGCCTTGAGAAAAGGCCTCCCCCGTTTTGTAGTCTTCATCATATGAGACGAGCTCGCCTGAGCAGACTGCTCCGCCTGATCTACGGATACCATTGATAGGGCAAAAAGGAGGCTAAAATCAAGGAAGATAGAGGTGACGATGAAGAAAGTACAGAATTAAACGACGGACACGGCAAGAAAAGGAAGAATAAGAAAGATGTTGATGCGGCAGCGAGGCAGGGCGTAAAGAGGAAGGAGGCTCGGTAGTCGTGGGTAAATGTGTAGCAAAGATTAATATCATTTATTGTCACATTTGTCACAATAATAATTTGAACCATAAACACCTCGGCCCTCGGCCGCCTAACTCGTGACTTTTTCTTTCCCACAGCAGATTTACTGAGCTAGTAACGACACCGTCATCATTTTTATCATCGCACTTCAAGTTGTCCCTTAACATAACTGATAGACTGTGCAAACGTAGTAGGCACCCGGAGTCGAGATTAAAATTCTCAGCAGCTCGGTCTTCTCAAGCGATATTGTGACTGTAGCGATTGTATCGCTTCGCAGTGACTCGGCACAGCTTGCATGTGACCCATTTGGCAAGTGGCGCGGCTGTGGCGGGGGTACTTTGATCTCAACAATCGTCGGCACACTGCCCCGAGATGCTGAATGATCCGTCGCTGTATCCTCCGAGACTCTCGCAACAGTCTTCTTGGCTATTAGTACATGGTAACTACTAGTACGAGTGGCAGCTCCATTTTACCACATCGCCACTAGATGTCGTTCCAAGTACGTTCTCCTTCTGAACTTCTGCGTTTTCTATATCATCCAACAATCCTTTTTGTTGTCATCGGACCCGCTTCAGTAATAACATCTATTCATGCTGCTACTTTAGAACAGTCTATTGGTCATGTTTACGGAATGTTGTCGTCACTTAACACGGCCCTTATCGGAAAGAGGCAAGAGTCCCAAAACATACTTTATTAGCATCATACTAACAAGGCACCAGATTCCCTTCTTTCCGTAACATGGTGACTGACTCGATCCCTGCCGACCATATAATTGTCTGAAGTCATCGCGCTTTAGCCTGATCATGTATTTGCAACTTCGGGTAGGGTCCGAATCTTCAAATATACTACTTCAGTAGTGCTTTCGCTGCCCTGAGTCAAGTTCGTAACAGTCCGAGTCGTTGCTCCAGCCCTATGACTCTTCTGCCTTGCATGGCTTTCTTCTTCGGTTACGCTGGCTCAAGCTGCGTTTCGTGAGAAACCGGTGGACTTTACTGACAATAACAGGGACACCTGCTATGGACCTGAACGTAACTCTGACAGCTAGAGGAGGTTCTATGATGATCGCATGGTGATACGCCGTACATACATATAATCCGCGCAGTCTGGCGTACCGGGCGCCCCTGCTTGAACATGCAGTTTCCACGTGTATCAACCGCTGCATAGCATTTGAAGCATTCCGAGTCGGACCCTCCTCTGAGGACTTCAGACCGGTTTAATGGCGAAGGCCCGCAAGAGGCCCGCGAACGGAACTTGGTGGTGGGATCACTACGTAGAGTTTTTGCCGAAGGGAACCAGTGACTTGCGTGTCTAGAACTTAGCAGTATTGTCAAGGTGACATTTATGTGAATCATACAGCTGTCATCCTTTTACTGCTCTGTCTAGGGGAGGCCAACTCGCACGGGAGGTTCTACAGGGGTTGTGTTACAAGCAGCGCATTGCTTACGAGCATGTACCTGACGAGCAAGAAGTTCTCTCAGACCAGCAGCATACCTCAAAGGACAGAGCGAGCTGTGCGTGAAATCCTTTTAATACTTTCGTTCATTTGAAATACTACAATACGAGCCTGTGGGCCACTACCCATAATCATTCCCAGCTCTTCTGGTCCATCATGTGGCTATACTCGTGTATTATCTGCGCGACTGTTCGCAAGCTCGAACTTTACGATACTCTCAAAATTCAATTATCCTTTCAAACTGGGCCCCTTGTCTCATCGTGCAGCCGGCACTCATCCGATTTTTCCTACTTACCGTATGGCGAAAACGGTTACCTATCAACTACACCACCATACGACAGTTCTCGCGGAACTAAAATTATGCACATTCGTAAAAAATCACTATTGCAACAACGTTATTCCGCTAAGCGCCAGTATTACGATGAGAATGCTGACGAAGAAGAGCCCACCCGTCCAACTTCCTGTGGACGACAGCCCGGACTTCATCAAGCTGCCGACGAGGATGTGCCAACTGCGGAAATCGCATTATGCAAGTCATGCAATCAGCCTTCCGCAGTGTCCTTCGCCCGTTCACTCGCAGATCCGCGATCAGATCTTACTGGACCATCCTCGAGCTGATGATGAATGGCTTGGATCTCGAGTTGTATTGGATATACAGAGCACATGGATTATCCGATTTTTTTCCTCCTGCCGATATGATGGGTCCTCGATGAGTAGTTTTTCCTTGTAATCTCGGTATGTGCCTTCGTGTAACATGCTAATTGCACTTGCAACCAGATTAGGCTTTCTTGAACACCCAGTTTGCAAAGTAGATTCTCTCACAATCCACCATGCAACCAAACTTCATTACCTTTGTCATATCAAACTTAAATTTAACGTCGACTGAACTCAATGATTCATATTTCACCGAATCCATTTGCGTGTATGGGAAAATTACCGGTATGAGTATATTTTGAATTTCACCAAGTCAAACTTACACTGACTTGCGTTGGCAGAACACTGGTTTCGTTCCTCAAATAGCTGTCACTTGGCTTGAGTTTGCGTACATAAATCGTATGTGGTGATTAGATGTGGATGGTTTATGATACGTTTCACACAGCATGCTAGTAACCATGTCGTGCAAAGCGCGCGATTATCAGACATCTCCGCGGTATTGCAAATCGGCGGAGGGGTTCGTCTTGAGGCTTCAAGCGGTCCGTTTGTTTCGTCTTTCAGCCGTCTTTCCCATTGTCCACTGTCCGCCTCTATCCGCTGCTCCGTTGTCAAGTCGTGACGTGTCACACGTAGGCACGCGCTGGTTACCCGACCGTTGGCCTGCTCCGTTGACACATTTAACAATTAATCCTCGGGGTATAGTAGGTAAAATGTTACTACAACTCCGAGCCCCTGTTAAAGTTTTAAATTTTACATGTACGATGTGATAATGCTGAATCATCCGAGTCATCCCGGAGCGGACTGACGATCGAGTCTATGTGGTTACGGTTGCCGATGGGTTCCGATGAGTCGCGGCGCGCGGCACGACAGGGTACGATCGAGGCCACTGTGACGTTCGATCTGGACACATTGACAAGTACGCTGCCGCCTCCTACTAATCAGGCTGTCCCCCGAAGATCAACCGAAGATGGCCGGAACCTTGCAAGGCACGTGTCCTCAATAAGATCACCCGAGGTTTCTCCTGTCGTTGTCGGCGATCTGTTAGGCGCCTCCCGCAGTACTCGCATAAGGTTCGTAAGTTGAGAGGACTTAGCATTCAGGGCCAGATAGGGAAAGACCGTCGTGGAGCGAGGCTAGAGCTGACATCCGAAATATGACTCTGTCGTGAAATTTTAGTTTCCAAGTTAAGCTGAGGCGTATATGATTATCCTTCTCGAGTATGATGGCACAGTGATATTCCCTACACGATCGATCGAGTAACGAAACCCCGGCGGCAACTGGAATAAGCAGGCAAACATAATCAAAACCATGTCAAAATAGTACTGAGAAGCGTTTAGTCATGATACAGCTGACCCTAGTATGAACTTCACGAATATCAATGTGAGCGATTTGAAGAAGCTGATCCATATACGATCATATGCTTACTGACATTGATCGTGATTCGTGATCACTGATAGGATCCTGCAGGTATCAAAGCTCTGCTCGAGCAACTGAGATCGTCACAGGCCTGGCAAGAGAGTATCGGTGGCGGCGCTGACCCCAATGGCGTGGCGAAGAACCCACCGCCAACTTCAATCGTACCTCCTCTGACACAACCACCCGCCACCACGAGCGATGCATCTAAACCGTCGTCCTCAGTGGCCGATTTGCTTTCCCAACTTAATTCATCCAAACATAAAATTGTATCAAGGCCCCCACCTGAACCTTCGACTTCGCGTTTTACTTCCCTGCCACTTTCACAAGTGGCTAGCCACCGCTCCACCGCTCAGCCTCCAGAGGACTCGACTCATCATGCTTTCATGCACGGGGAGGACCTCCACATGATGTCGTTTCAGCAGGCCTTGCCCCATCTCACACGATTGGCGGAAAGTGCAGACTTTGTTGCTGCCGTAGCTCGTGTAAGTCCGTCGTGCGGTCTTCACACACTCATTATATGATTTCTGAACTTTAGTTACGAGAAGAGCAGAAGGACTTGGAGAGACAGCTGTGGGAAGAGCGACTCGCTATACATAGGAAACACGAGAATAAAGTCAAGGTTACGCAGACCAAGTCCGTATGATTCTTGGCGACGGATCTCCTTTCATCATAATGACGTCCCTCGTAGAGCCGCGTTGATTGGCGGAGGAATATCCCAGCATGAGGCGGATGTAAGTACTACCAACTCCACGTTTTCGTTCTAACCTGCGTGGCAGATGCTGAACGATGCATTTCGGAAAGAGCTGCAAAAATTTGATGCGGAACGCGTGCTTTTCGCATGGGACGGTCTCTTGCAGAAGCAACAGTCTACACTGGAAGGCCTCGGAGTACCAACTATGTTCCCTTCTGATTTGCGAGCCGATAGAGAGGTGAGTATCGAAGCAGTGACGAAGACGTGGACCAATCTCATTGCCGTGTTGCTAGAAACAACAGAGAGTAGTTCAAGTCTTGGAAGGTATAGTGGGGTAATGAGGATCTGTGAATGTTTTTGTTCTGTGTTTTGTTATCTTTGCCATATTTACAGATACAAAGTATCCTCGGACCTCAGCACAATAAAACTCTCGAGTGCGGGTGCCAAACTGCTGTCCCTGCGGAGATAGCAGCCGCAGGCAACTTTACTCCATAACGGAGCTTGTGTGCGATTGTCGGAAGCTGGTTACCTGCCCATCGGACAATGTTCTAGGCCTGGCCATTCCGGGAATGAAAAACATGGCACTGATTATACTATCGGCGGCAAGCACAGATTATTACATGCATACTGTGATTTACTTCAGGAGATGGAGACGTGAGAGGGACTGAGACGCTGGGAGGAAGCCTGAGCCGCTTCCGTTTGCCTGCAATGATTCCGGCATGTCGTACGCGATAACGAATGTTAGCTATCGCAATTGTAACTCTTCAGCAGCTTGAGGGATCTTCTCATTTCGACATTCAACCAATGAATTCTGGGACTAACCAAAAAAACAGACTCCAGTATATCTGGAGGCACAAAAGGGCGGTAGCAAGACGGAGAGGAAGATTCCGAGGTTATCAATCTTATTCTTACCGCGACATCCCGTGAAGGTGGAGAGCACACGTAGTTCGTAACGTCAATCAAAATTCTTGGAAGAGTGTTCTTGACAACGGGTACTTGTGGCTTGGGAATGACTTGGAGAGACCCGGACCGTGAGTAAGTATGAGGGTAAAGAAGGTTGTCATTATTATAACTAAAATTGGAGCGCCTCAGCCTGAGAGACGCATCGATGGGCATTAATGCCAATAATTCAAGGGAGACGGAAGCAAGTAATCCTTTTTAATTGATAATTTGAAGGCAGCGACGTCGTCGATCATGCAGCTCGACGCTCAGCCATCTGGATTGAATATTGAATATCTATGTATGTACAAGTTTGTTCCATAATTTTTAGCTTGTCCTCTTGACGCTACTACTCGGCTAATGAGAAATTTGATCGCATTTGACCCAAGGCCGTCAGGGCCTTCTAGGGAGGGCGGTCGTTACTGTTGGACCCTTTTTCATATATATAAAACTGTTTTGTAAACCTGTGGGTGCCTTGTTGTTGGTCTATTTCTTGTTCTCCTCTCCCGTATGCCCTACATCGATATCCCATCCAGGGACGACTACGTGTCTATATGGTACATCACGAACTCCGTCCACGGGAACGTTGGCAGCTTTGACCCAGAGCGCCCCACTTGCATCCTCCTTCATCCTTTATTTCTGGACTCAAGCTGGCTGATTAGGCACTTTGATGATCCCAGACTCTCCCGCGACTACAACTTGATAGCTTTTGACCAGCGGACTTGTGGACGATCACGATGTAGACCCAGTCAATGGCATGACAGTTATGTTGATGCAGCAGATCTTGCTATGGTCTGTCAGGTGTGATCCATTCATTGAAGTTTACAGCCCGGTTTCTAACACTTGAATCTAAGGCTTTGCTCTTGCCTCCTGCACATATATTGGCATTCGAGTGTATTTCTGTTAATGCAGCTCTCAGACTCGCTGCAGTGTATGTCCTCCAATGCGTGATGGTTACCAGCTGACTGTCAGTTTCTAGGTGGCCTGAGCAGGTCCTGAGTCTAACTTTATGCGACGTCCCCCCTCCGACAGAGTATGTCCTTCTTTGTATGTGTTTGATTATTTGTTTTCTGATAACTGTTCCTAGACTTCAATGGGTCTTCCACGCTTATGACGAACTCCTTCAATTGTGGTGTTACGCGCCAGACCTCGACTCGTTCGAACATGCAGGGAATGAAGTAGTGACTTTCATGACTGGGGAGGTAAGCCGCCGATCATAGCATGCAAGTTCTTTGAAAACCGACGACGCCGTGTGCAGAGCGACAATCTAGACCTTCAAGATGATGTATGTCATTTCTGACCAGTCGGAGCACAATTGCTAAGTCAATGACAGTTGATAGCCTACTGGGAGAAATATACACCTCCAACAAAACGCCTGAGGATTGTAGAACTTGTTAACATTATGATGAACGTGAGCGCTATATTGACGTCCGTTTATGCTTCCAGCTCATCTGTCATGTAAGCGTACACTTATGAAGCCCCAGGAACTTGCCAGTATCTGTTGCCCTGTTCTTATTATTCAGGTATTGATCCTGCAAATCTGATTGGAGGAACGAGCGGGGTGTTGATACATATCTACAGGGAGAAGCAAGTCCCATAGCTCCGCTGAAATACGCAGAGAACCTTAAACAGCAACTAATAAACGCTGAAGATGGACCTCGATTGTACGTTGTCAAGGGTAGGTGCGCCTATGATCGCACATGGTGACTTGCCTTATGACTTTTGCAGGTGCCAAAGCTTGCTTAAACATCCTGCCTGGAAGCGCTTCGATAGTTAACCAGGTCTTCTCAAAGTTTCTTGCCCAACAGCCTCGTACACGGTCCGACCTCCTTACTCCAAAGTTGTCCATACGAGAACGGTCGAAGGTCGCTCTATCGAAGCTTGCGGAATTCGTCGGCATTCCATCTATTGCCCAGAGGGATCCTCGTTCTCCCCTTTCGTTTTCATGTGTAAAAACCGAGGTTGCGAAAAGCCAGTTGGAAAATTTGTCGTTTTACGCAAAGGATTTGAATCAAGCATACTGTCCGCTTGGGAGAGATGGACGGCCGTTGCGCAAGTCAGTTACAGCGTTCGCCCTCCGATTTCATCATACTAACCCCTTTTACTCAAAGGTACTCTGAACGGAAGAAGGAGGCTCACTGGTTCCAAGGAGACAAGCATGGCAACAGTTACATCGGTACGTTCACGTGCTCTACGGATTCACCCTACCGTGCCTCATAAGACTACAGACACTTCCGAGCTCAAAGCTGCTCGTAACTACAAGGGATACAAACAATCACATCCTAAGGCTCCCAGCTCTCCGGAACGTCCGGTAGCGGGATCTTTAACTGCGAACAAAGAAAGCCTAGTCACAGACGAGGTCGCGCAGGATGGTCGCATGCGTCGAACGACTTACAATGCTAGCTCAGTCGACAAGCACGTTATTAGAGGAACGATGCAGAAGGTAGTAACACAAAGTGCTCAACTGCCTAGGGGGGTCATAACGAAAGCTTTATTACCGTCATGACTTCTCATGATGCCTGTACAAAAGTACTCACTCTCATTTTTTCTTTACTAAGGCTGTCACAGATCACATACGACGTTTGGATTATTCACAACTACCTTAATGTGTTTGGCAGATATATATGTATCCACATCTAAAAGTTCAGAGTACGCTCATACTACTCATGTACAACTATATGCATAATGTTCAGAATCGACCACACAGAGCCCAACAATAACATTGTGAGAATACTGAGTTGAGTACCATTTTACATGCTCCCTTCTGATATCTGAGCCTTATAGTATCGGACCATCTCCTCCAAGCCCATCCGCACTGACCAACGGGGTTGCCATCCCAGGCTATTCTTTGCCCTAGTCGTATCAGGGCGCCTCTTCTGAGGATCGTCAGTTGGGATTGGCTTGTAAACAATTTGCACGCGGCGCTCGAGTTTGATACCATCTTCTTTTTGCACTTTCTCGACGATCTCGCGAACGAGTTCTGCGAATTCACCAATAGTGAATTCATCGCCATTGCCGATGTTGACTGGGCGCGACTCATCAGAGTTCATGAGGGCAATCAGGCCGTCGATGAGGTCGTGGATGTACTGGAAGGAACGAGTCTGCTTGCCGTCACCATAGACGGTCATATCCTCGCCGCGCAGGGCTTGGACGATAAAGTTGGACACCACACGACCATCGTGAGGGTTCACTGTGAGATCAACCTTAGATCAGCCTTGTGATTGATTAAAACGTGGCGAAACGAACTTCGGGGACCTAAGGGATGACACTTAAGTAATAGAAACGGCAAAGAGTGTAAGACCAACCGTAAGTGTTGAAAATACGTGCAACCCGAACATCCACGCCATCTTGATGATGGAAGCCATACGTGAGAGTTTCCGCAACACGTTTACCTTCATCATAGCAGGCGCGAGGGCCTATCGGGTTGACGTGACCCCAGCTACAAGATAATAAAAAACACAATCAGAGGTAAATGACCGTGGCTCACTAATCTTCCGGTTGAGGATGGACTTCAGGGTCGCCATAGACTTCTGAAGCGGAATGAGCACATAAGATGCCCGATACCGAAAAGAACCGTACCAGATGTACTACTAATAAGGAACCTAGCCTTCGTGCGCTTGGCCAAGCCAAGCATGTTCAACGTGCCTATGAAAGAAGTTTTGATGGTTTTAACTGCATTGAACTGATAGTGCGGAGGAGATGCGGGACAAGCAAGATGGTATATTTCTAGGGGTTCCACGGTCATCAGCCAGGAAGCGAATAGCGCACGAGGCCGAAAGGCTTACGATCGCATTCGATCATGAATGGCTCCACAACATCATGACGGACTAATTCAAAGTTTGGGTGACCAACCCAGTGACTCACGGTGGTCTTTGAACCAGTGAAGAAGTTATCCAGGACGGTAACCTCATGGCCTAAGAGCATGAGACGATCGACAAGATGAGAACCCACGAAACCAGCACCCCCAGTGACGAGAACGCGCTTCCTAGATGAGGCAGGTAAAAGCTTAACTGGAGCGAAACGGGAAAGGGTTGTGTACGAGATCGACTGTGTGTCTGGATGGAAGATTGACTTAGACTGGTAGGCATTGGGGCCTTGCGTCAAATACCCGTGTCCTTCCTCTTCCTTAGCATCTAGCTCCTGAACCTGGGATGCAGGAGCTGAGACCACATAGTGCGATCGAAGATACAGTGATCGGAGGATGTCAAGGGCCACCTCACAGTCGAACCCAAAGCGTTGGAAGCCAACGCTTTTGATTTCTTGGCCGTTCTTATCCAGGGTCTGGGTCTATGAGTAGAAAAATGCATCAGCGGTACTGATCGATGAGAAAAAGACAGTCAGTACAGTTTTTCCCGATAAAATGTTTGCCATATTACACGTAGAAGTAATGAAGAGAAATCCTAGATTAGATAGTACAACGACTTACATCTTTAACTGAAGACGACGACATCCTGGGAAGATGAAAAGCGACTAGTACAATTGCAAAGCGCGGCGTGCCTGAAGTATAAGTGGTCAGATTTTTGCCTGCGCCGCCACTGCGGAAACAGGAGGTGTCGGAGTCTGGACGAGGGAGATCAAAACACTTACCTGATTTACCCCCTGATTATTAGGTAATCAATATCCCATCCGAAAATAATGTTTTCATAAAACCTCTTACATTCCATCATGCCTCGAGTACAGAAATCGGTGAAGCAAAGGCATGACCCTCTTCACGCACAACTAGATGTCGATGAGGCACAAGCGAAATATGGTCGCGTATCCCAACCGGGGAAGCGCACGAAGCGGCAGAAATCCTCCGACGATGAAGAGAGCACAGAGGTGTGTACACTCCAATCATGTCCGTTAAAATGATTGATCGCGCAATGCACAGGTAGTTCTTGACTCAAAAATATCGAGGAGAATCTTTGAGCTCGCGAGGGATCAACAAGAAGAGATCGATATACCCGAGGACGAGGATGAGTCTCGACATGAAGATGAACGCGAGAACTTCAAGCCCAGAGTACAATTCGTGGATGACGAGGACGAGGACAGTGACGATGATGACATGAGTGATAACGGTGATGCAGAGGATATGTTTGTCAGTGCATTCTGATGTGTCTAGCTTGCCTCTCATCATCCCCCTTAGCAATTGGATTCTGGAGATATCCAAGCATTGGATGCACTACTGCCATCTAATTCTGGTGAACGCCGAACATTAGCAGATATCATTTTCGCTAAATTGGAGAGTGGGGAGACCAATGGTGTCAATGTCATGCAAAAGGTGCAGCAGGGTACGGTCCAAATCTTGGTCGCTTAGGCTATTATCTCATGTTTTCTAGATCAAGAACATCCTGATCCGGCACTCGGTCTTGATCCTAGACTCGTAGAATCTTATTCAAAGCATGTATATTCTCTCTCACGCAACGGCGTTTACTGAATTTCGTCTCTCTTACAGACTCGCAATCTTCCTGCACGGGTATAAGTCGGGGCCATTACCAAAATTCTTCAAAGTTATTCCCTCGCTCCCAGCATGGGCAAGAGTATTAGCGCTCACTCGTCCCGAAAATTGGAGTCCTCATGCGTGTAGAGCAGCAACACGGATTTTCGTGTCAACGATGAAGCCTGCTCAGGCTCAGCTATTTCTTTCCGTCGTCCTCCTGGATGCAATACGGGAGGATATACAGAGTAATAAAAAGCTCAATGTACAATATTACGAATGCCTGAAGCGCGCACTATTCAAACCCGCAGCATTCTTTAAGGGTATCGTGTTTCCAATGTTAGAGGTGCGTTATCGGACATACATTTTTGACCATGCTTAATTACTTCTTCCACCTACTAGAACGGCTGTACCCTTAAAGAGGCCGCTATCATTGCTTCTGTCGTTGCTAAGAAGAAAGTACCTGTTTTACATTCAGCAGCAGCTCTACTCCGAATAGCAAACATGGACTATACGGGTACAGTGTCATTCTTCGCTATTTCCAGGCTAACTCATTCCTTCCAGGACCAAACTCTCTATTCATTCGCGTCCTGATTGATAAAAAGTACCAACTCCCATACAAAGTTGTTGATGCCTTGGTGTTCCATTTTATTCGTCTTTCCAACACTTACAAGGCCCGTGGGCGTGGTGACACTCAAAAGCTTCCAGTGCTCTGGCATCAAAGCCTGCTAGCCTTCTGCCAGAGGTCAGGTTGTTACATTTGGCATCGGTACAAATCTAAATCCGATTTTTATAGATACTCACCGGATCTTACTCCTGACCAAAAAGATGCTCTCCTGGACGTTATTCGCGTTAACCCGCATTTACAGATCGGCGTCGAAGTGAGAAGGGAGCTGGTTAACTCAGTAGCTCGAGGAGAACCTCGACCCGACGTCGCTCAAGATGTAGACATGTCGTGACATGCCATCAATGATGTGTCTTTTCGCCTTCTATACATACATTCGTTCTTTAATCTTACATCGCCCAATTGACGAGCTGGTCGGGCCTATCCTCGAAGGGCAATCTTCGTCACTTGGACGAAATGAGTGTCATGACTCGTGACCGTGAACGAGGTGCACTTTTTCTGGTTTTCTTCATAGTGCCAACAAAAGTTCGAACAACTTCCTGTGGGCGAAGTACCGCTTTTCTTTCATCGACAATTGCTGCGATTTCCCCCGCTGCTGCGCTATATCGCACAGAACCGATCATCGCGCTTGCGGCATGTGCGATACAGGCTCATGTTTTCTCGACCGTTGACCAGACTCATATTCATCCTTAGCATCACATCAAAGCATCCCTGCCCAGGCCCCCTTTGACATTCTTGTTTTTCCGAATACACCACCCTGTCGGCTCATCAATACCAATACCTAGATCTTGCGCCATTGCACACAATCAAACAATTGAACATTGTGGTCAATTGTTGCCCATCATATATTATCCGCACCCGCATGTCTAGGTATTTAGAGCCATATCCGGCCAGTGAAATCGGATCTTGCCTGTGCTCCCCGATCAATCAAAATTCACCAATTTATATCCTACTGGGGAGGTTCTTAATATCCATGTCATCAAGCCCATGAACACGGTTGGCTTGACGAATAGAAGAAGGTTTGTGGTGATACCATCACAATGCCGATAAGGAGGGGAGTTCTAAGATAGCAGTATTCATGCTCAATCTGCTGTATACTTGCGTAACAACGACCATGTACTCGTTTGCCTGATAGATCTTCGAAGCCCCTTCAGTGTGGAGTAAAGCCCCTGGAAGATTCATGTGCATCCTACAGCCAACAAACTCGTCGTTAGTCGTCTTTGGGGCAATCAGCAGACACGTATCTAACATATATAAATGAATCTGCCCACGGTCATCCAACTGCTCTCGTGAAGAGTAGCCAGTATAGAAGGGAATCAAAAACTAGACTAGAAGACTTTGTTGCATAGCATGATATTGCTTGGGCATACCCTTCGAACGGAATGTTGCCTTGGATCATGGACCAATCATTGAAATGGATGTCTGAGTACCGTGCTCTTTCACCGAATCTTAAAAGCGCGACTCACCTCGTCTTCGAAACATTGTACTGCGGCGAAATGAGTCGGACATCGCTGCAGACGACGTCAAGATCAAGGCGTTATCTCCATTGCGTTCGAACATGCCAA